CAGAATTAGAGATGAGAATTGAAAACCGGTTCCTAATCAGAACCGGTTCTGTGTGTTCCAATTCCTTGGCACTGTTTGGCAGCTCGCTTACCGATTCTCTTAGATTCTCTTAACGGTGCAAGGCATCACCAGAGCCTAGAGCTCTGGGCAGCACAACTTACAGTTTTTTACACAAGTTATGCACACGGCATTCAGTAAGCAAGTACGATGTGACCAGGCGTAAGTCTAGAAAAAGGCAAAACAAACAAAATGGCGTCCCATCAGGTAAAGCGATCGAAATTTTGGCTCCATGTTAAGGAAGAGAAAGATGGCAACAAGGCGTTTTTTGCAAACATTGCAAAGTGGCAATTACATCAACGGGAAGAAATACATCCAACATGCAGAAACACCTGTCCATACAACATGGCATACATTTTAACGGATGCCGTGTTTTCATTCCTTCCGGACAGAAGCTAAAGTTACGAACAGCATGGAAGGCATCTCTGGTGATAAGTAGCTAGTTTTATATCATGGCTGTGCTTAATGTGATTACTAGTAAATCATATGCCATTTCTGGAAATAAACCAATTTCCTACCTCTCTTTGGGTTTATTAAGGGAGTGTGCCTTTCTCGTTAATCCAGCCTTTCATTGCTAGCATGTTTATTTGAACCACTGGTAGCTGGCATTCTTACATGATTCTAGCTATTGCAATGGATGTAACGAAACATGCTACAAAGTTGCTCTGCAGTTCAGTGAGCGAGAGAAACGCGACACAAGATTTAGATGACTGTGACGAGAATCGATAAGGAATTTAATCGTTACACAGAATCGATAAGGAAATTGTAATCGTGAAAATCTTATCAATTCCCAACCCTAGACAGAATAGTCTTTATAGTCTTTAACTTGACCACACTGACTTACTCCCTGTGTAAGCCAGTCTGGCTGTCAAGGCTAAATATCTGCTGCTGTTTTTTCTACTATCATCCAAACTTCCTATAACCAGTGTCTTAAGTTTCCACAGCCTGCAGAACTGTAATTTTAGGTAATGCACAGGCACTACAATAATATTCACTATAAAAGAGAGAGTGCACTGGCTGCTGGAGCTCCCGGTCTGTTCCATGTAACGTGGTCTGCATGCTGAAGCAGACAGATGATGAAGAAGACAGAGAAACTCAAACATGATAGTACTCAACATTCACCTTGAAACACATTAGCCTAGCACTCCCTAGCATCAGAGGGTATGAGAAGCCATTATTGATGACTGTACCTTGATGTTTTAAGGTATCATTTTTAGGACAAATGATAGATCTTCACATTTCTTAGATCATATGATGTCAAAACACGGAAGAAGGATTTGTTAGCGACCTAGCCTGAGCAGCGTTTTGAAGGAAACTTGGGATATGTGGTTCATGCAACAAAATAAAATCTTTCAATGTCCAAAACATGACGGCAAAGTCTGCTGCAAAGTCTGCTGCTGAGCAGCGTCGTTTAGGAATGCGCCAAATTTTTTAGCCCGAAAACAGAAATTTTCATAAGTACATTAAAATATAAAGGGCATAACATACAACATGTCAGTGGTACATTAATATTTTTATACTTTTGTAATTTACTAATTGAAATGCCTTAATTTTAGCTAGGTTAGTACACTGCATAGCCAAAGATGCTGTGGTTGTAATATCTGACCTAATAATTTATTTCGGTTTTTGGTTTCCGGCTTTGGGATCCTCATTCTTTGTTTTCGGTTTCGTATAAGGATTTTCATTAGGAAGCGTCCCTAGCGTTGTTCTTTGCTACAAAATCACAATGCAATGGTGGGGGCTTTTCAGTTCTAGTTATAAACGCACCATTGAAAAACAACTTTTGCTGTGAAAGTTGCCAGTGAAAGAAGATCCCTACCTTCATTATTAGTGAGGTGTATAAACACAAAGACAAAAGCCATCCAACAGGGAAGTATCATTTCTATTGAAGGACAGAACTAGACTTTAGCTGGTTTTGGCCATTTCTCTTTATTTTTGTGAACAGTAGAGGTAGGCTAATACAACAGCCGGTCGATATTTGGCAGAAATTAGTGTATTTTTCCTGTATTTGCATCCATCAACACATGCATGCATTCACCAAATAATTAGCCACTCCCTCTATCTGCTCTCAGCCGTTAAAAACCTGTATTAGCAAATCTCTATTCTGTAGATTCCTTTCTTTGTCTTTTGCACACCAAACCTGTCATGGAAGATGCAGCAACTGAAATGTTTTCAGGCTTTTAATTATCTCACACTCGTTGTAAAGGTCTAATTTGGACGAGGACTAACATTAAGCTAATCATACTAATTGCCTCCATTATAAGCTCTCCTGCTAATGTAAGAAATCACCATTTTAAACACTGTTGTTTATTGCATCCTGGATAGGATTCATTTGGTCCAACCAGTCAGAGCTGGGCAACAATCTCTGGTTGGTACATGATCTTTAATTAACCCACTTTATTTTGCGGTGCAGGTTGTAAATGTTTCTTATCCTGAACAAGAAAGGCAAGCTAACAAATAAAGCCACTTTCCCACTGAAATGTTTTTGTTTTTTTTCAAACAAGGGTCGACCCGCTAAATATTAGCATTTGGCTCCCTTCCCATTGGCTAAAACATCTGGTCTAACACCTCCCTGGTAGCTGATTGACCTCTGCCCCCTACTGCTGCATGTCTGGTGACACCATCAGGCTGGGTTAGCGTTGATGATGTCAACAGTGCGACAGAAATCAGGAAAGTAAACAATGGAGAGCAACATGGAAGGAAGCCAGGGTGTAGTCTGTGTTCTTTATTGTTTCATTCTATTATCTGTCTGAATCCCTCTCACCAGAGCTGCTCCATGTTTATCTAATGTAAACAGAGTAGTTTCTGCATGTTAGATCAGAAGTGATTGGTGCGTTTTTTGACGTCCTTACGTTGTGTCCAATGGTATTATGTATTTTAATGCTCTGGTGTTCCCACAGTATGCTGATCAGAGCCGATTTTAACAGTGAGCTGTTCCCACTGCCACTAAAAGCCCATTGTTCCTGGGTTTAAACAGGTTTTTTATCCAGAGGGAAAGGGGTATAAATGACCTGACTTTGGTAGGAGAGAAAAAGCAGATGTGTTCACTGTTACACAGTGGATTTGCTTTCTGCGGATCAGCTTTAACACCTCCTGCTGTGCGTCTTAAGACCGGCTGACAGGACTGCGACGGGCAAGACAGGTAATCAGCCGCTCACACACATGCACTGAGCTTTTAGTTGAAAAAGACAAAAAAAAAAAAAAAAAATCAGTTTTAATTTTCACATCTTCATTAGATCTGTCCAGACAGAGCCTTGCTGAAAAAGCAGCACCAGAGAGACAGGGTTCGGGAAGCAAGTATAAGGTTTAGCATTCCTGTGTGTTTGTTCACTGGAAGAATTTGCTTTATTTCAGATATGGAAGAAAAATAAACCATGAGCTCAGCGTGCAACTCATTTTCTCCGGCATCTGATTCTCACACTCACTGCTCATCAACTGACCTATATACCCCTAATTACACACAGCAGCCCAACAACAGTGTACACAGTAACCATAAATACACACACATCCTAACTAGATCCACGAAGCCGATAAAAACTATTCCCCTCTTTTGGATATTTGTCTTTGCAGACTTCCACTAAATATAATTTAACATTTTATACTTTTAAAGAAAAGACAATAAGAAAACAATTTATGGCATAAAGCATGGCAGTGGTATCATTATGCTGCAGGGATCCTAGCGACATGCTTTTCAGGATAAATGAAAAAGGGAGCCAGTTAGTTTGACATCTTTGCTGAGATGTTTCCAACACACGCAGGATAATGTTCAGTTGATCTTCTTCTCGATTGAAAGTGGTTGAGAACAACTTTCAGGTGCATTATTGCCACCAACTGGTAAGGAAAGTTAAAAGCTTCTTTAGGGGCTGTTGTTTCATACTCAGAATGGGGGATTCCTATTGAACAATATATGATTTGTGATCATGACAGTTATCTTACCCCATAAAGGGTGAAATAAAAGAATAACAGAACCGACCACATGAAGACAGATCAGTAACACAGATGACTTCTACTCAAAAACCTCTAAGATAAATTCAGCAGCATCACTCACAATGTTTATCTTTTGACCTCCGTATCATCAATGTTCCCCCTTCACTCCAAGCATCCAAATCGCAAAGCTAACTGATCAAAAATAGATCAAATTACTTGAAATAACTACCAAATGTAACACTGATGGATATCATGTACATATGGAACATGGTATGTATTTGTTTTTGCATACATATGAAAAAAAAACAACAACCATCTGCTTCAGGACCTAAGGCCATTCTTGGCCTACTACCCTCTTTGCATCTCTCTTCTATCCCGCTCATTTCTCTCTTCTAAGCTTAGCCTGCAGTGGTTTTAAAAGCACAAATAAACCGAGAAACACAAACCCATCACAAACATAAACATTAAAATACAAAATGTGCTGCAAGACATCCAGCTCAGCTTTTTCTGTAGCAGCTCCGTCAGACACACTCGCACCAAAACGAGGTTAATGAAGATGAATGTGGGGGCACAGTCCTATTGACATCCTGTGTCTCTAATTGTGGCCCTGTTCTTCAAGGACACATGGTGGAAAGACAAGCAGGGAAAGGACAGAAATAGAAACTGTGGGACTTTTGGAAGTGAGTGTGTCTCTCGTTTTCTTTAGTGTCAAGCTCAATTAAAGGTAGGACTTGACATTAGCTGGAGAAAACTGAACGCCATGAGGAAAGCAGTGAGAAGATAGACGGACAGAGGGAAAGGTCAAGGAAAAACAGGAGGAGGAAGAGGAGAAGGATGAAGGCCACCGGATCAGTGGTCCAGAACGGTAAGCAGACAGAAGACACACGTTAGGAGTTCGGTCAAGCAGAGCGCTGCATCAAACCCCCCCTCCCACAAAATCAGAGCCATAAAGGATGAAGACATAAGCACAACCAAGGAGCCAGAGCATTAAACAATCAGCTTTTTTAATTTCCTACCTGGAACAATGGAAACGGTGTCTCTTTCCCATGACACGACACTGACGTACTCCTGCACGGCAGCAGGGATGAGGCACTTGAACACTGCTACGTTGCCCCGCATTGAGCGCTGGTCGGCCACCCGCACAGTGTAGGGTTCCCTGAAAACTACAGATGGAGAAACATTATTTTACAAAAAAAACAAAAACAGTAAGTAAGTAAAAGCGCTACATTAAAAACATTGCATTTAAAAAGAGCAGGCATGTATTTTAGCCTAAAAAGCTTGTTATAATGGATTTTTTTAGCTGGAGTGTAATGTTCAGAGTTTTAATAATCAGTAATCTATAAGTTTTTGTTCCCCCAGAGTACAACTATGAAAACACAGAAACATTTATGATGCTGAAAAGAGAAGAGAAATGTTAAAATCAATAAGGGTTAAACTGCATCATCCTGCTATAACAACCAGAAGATGCAGTTGATGCTGTTTTTCTGTGGGTGATTAAAAGAACAAAAAATAACTTTTCTGTCTAATGATTGCCAACAGAGATGTTTGATAAAACTTTGCTGAACTGTTTGTTTTGGCCAGATGAGACGAATTGTGAGCTTTAAAGCTACAAACACTTCAGGTGGGTTTGAAGGTGGAATCTTGAATCCCTCTGTTAGGTGTGGAGGAGGATCTGTGATGCTTTGGGCCGTTTGTCTCTAAAAGGTTTTAGATGCTTGTTGGACTGCATGGCATCGTGAAGATTTAAGAAGATGGTAATAATGGGTAGAAGGTGACACCTTTAAAAAATATGGCAGTTTACTTAAATGCTTGAATAAACAAAAATGTTCGAGTTTCTGGTTTTAAAGGCACAATCGACCTTTTTGACCAGGTTTGTTGATTAATGACTCAGTATCACAACTTTCTTTTAATCACATCAGCCCTTTTATCATATAAAGCTCAGGCTGCCATTAAACAACACAACCAAAGATCTATTTCACTGTTGTGCACAGAACTTCACAAGGAGACGATGCACAGAGGTTCAAAACCCACTGGGATTTATCTGCTGCTTTGGTTTTATGCAGGTTTGGGCAATATTTTACACTCAGCTGAATGAGCAGGAGCTCATTAGCCAAATCACATGAAAGCCAGGATGTATCTGAAGGTTGCTAAGAGACTGGTTCGGAATCCCTTGCCTGGTAACAGACACGGAGATGGTATGCATATATTCTCGGCTGCAAAAAGGGAAACCGTGCACAGCAATTTACATCTCCTTTAAATAGATAATTTAGACCTCTCAGATCGGTTTGGTTCTTGTCTTAATGAATATATTTAAACTTATCGGGAATCTTTGATTGAATTCTAGCTGTTAGTGGCGTGACGCAGTCCTGCGCTCCACGCCTATCACCGTTCATTGGCAGAGGAAGAGCAAAACCCTCCAGAAGAAAATAAAAATCAACATTATGTCCGACTGTGACCCGATCACCATCACTGCCAGGCCCTGGCACAGGCCACTGGCGGCAGGATGTTTGCTTCATGCTAATCCCCCCTCGGCTCCTGAGGCTCGGCTTTCTGGTCATGTGGGAATGAAGGCAGCAAACCGGCTGCAGTGTAGGCAGGGTCCCGGCTCAAATCCCCCACTTGGCGCTTGTGTTAGTATTAGAACGAATATGAGTATTAGTTCAGGCCTGTGTTGGGAGGCAGAATATGGAAACAGATGTTGATGGCTGGAGGGAAGGGGGAGGAACCAAAGTGGCCTTGATGAACGACAGGAGCAGGGTACAGAGCGGGACAATGGACACGGTTTAAAGATAATCCAGCTGAGTGTCTGAACTTTCTGTTCATTGGGTTCTTTTCCTGGAGGACACAAAAACTCAAAATCTCCTTTTTTATTCTAGATTAAATCAAGCTTATTAAAGCAGTTAAAAAAAAACTTAACAAGGAAACACTGATTGATCTGTTTATGAAGGAGCACAACAAAAGCATGTTAAGCTCGCAACGGGGCGACAATCGGAAGCTAAAACGAGGAAACGGGAAGGGAAATAAAACACCAACAGCTCCAACGTCGAGTCCAAAATTAGAGCGCTGCAGTATGATTGATCTTTAGTCTAATGTACAATGGGAAAGTTTTTTTCTCTGGTGTTTGTGAAATAAATCAATATGCTCTGTGCCGAACAGATTAAGGTATCTGATAGGCTGACAGCATTTAGAAAATGAAAGAGGAACATTTGTTTTAAAGTCGGGGGGCCACACCGGAACACTGTTTTTCCTGAAAGAACATGGGATTTAAAAAAAAAAAAAAAAAGTTTGAGTATTATTATTACAAATGTTATTTTGTGAAACAGAAGGGCCAGTCATCTACTATAAACTTATCAATTTCTACATTAGTTGCTCATTCTGGAGGACCCTTAATAAAACAATGGCAGCCTGTTAGATTAAATATATTTTTTTCTGTGTTTTACACTTTGCTTTTGCTCTATTTTTTAGCAAACAACGATTTATGTCTATTTACCATAAAAAGACAAAATAACCAGAAGTAGAGACAATAAGTGAATAAGAAACAGCTCTAGACGTGTCTATAGGAGAAGCTATGAAACAGACTGAGGCTGCTAAGAAAGAGAAGCAAGTTTAAGATCAAGTGTGAAAAAGTGCACAACTTTATTTAATGCCAATAGGGACAAAACACTGATGATGTTTAAAAATCAATGTCCTTTCAAAATCCATTCTGAGCAAAAGACAGGCTGGTATCGGCGGTACCGATCCGATACTGGTACTGTGCAAAAACACCTGACGCTTCTTATCATCCTGTGACTCCAACTTAAATTACCTTTGAAATTAAGGCTGAAACAATTAACTGGATTAATTATGATTAATCGTTTATTAAAATAACTGTCAACTACTTTAGTAATTGATAAATCATTAACTGTATAGAGTATAGAGACTCTAAAACATGCCTTTAGCTGACAGACTGACCCACTTAGAGCAGTAATTATACCAACATGAAAAAAATATATATATAAACATTTGGCATTTAAGATAAAAAAAAATGTTTTTGTCCGTCAAAATGCTCTATCCAGAACTCCTTAAGTTCTGAATAGAGTTTTAGCTTCACTTGGTATATATACTGTAAAAAATGCTCTTTAAGCAACCTTTTTCTATCCGATTAATAATTGAAAAAATACAATCACTCTGTATAGCCTCTTTTCCACTGAAAATAGTGAGTTAACGTGTGTTTTTCAAACATGGGTATATCCACTAATGGTAATATCGGTATTTGTCTCCCTTGCAACTTGCAATAAAAGCCGATCTAACCCCTCGCTGGCAGCTGAATGGCCTGGTGATATCATCACACTGGGTTGGTGTTGATGATGTCATTAGTGCGACAGAAATCAGGAAAGTAAACAATGGAGAGCAACATGCAAGGAAGCCAGGGCGAAGTCAGTGTGCTTTATTGTTTATCTCTATTATCTGTCTGAATCCTTCTCAACAGAGCTGCTCCATGTTTAACGAATGTAAACAGTTGTTTTTGCTTGTTGGATCAGCAGCGACTGGCGCGGTGTGTTTATGTACGTGCGTTGCTTTCAAAGGCATCACGTAATTTAGTGCGTCAACCTGGCTCTGGAATTCCCACAGCATGCCGATCAGAGCTGAGGTTCCTACTCCCACTAAAACCCCATTAATCCTTGGTTTAAACTGTTTTTTCACCCAGTGCAAAATGGGTAACAATTATTTATAGACTCCTTGTCAATATAAACCTCTATAAAGAATAATTATTTCAGAAATCTAACTTAAATTTAGCCTTTCTCCTTGTGGAATATGACCAATATGGGGTCAGAGATCATCAACATATGTAATAAATACTTATAGGCACACGTTTATTTAAAAAACACAGAGTAAACTACTCTCAACCTGCATTTTAAATGCATGAGCTCCTTCTCTGCACTCCAGGCTGGCTGTTTATGCGCCGCTGGCGTCTTTTCCATATTGTGCTGTGAAAAAAATGCAATCTTTCAATGTTTAACAATGTTCTGCCTGTTGTTTAAACAGTACAGTCCACCAAAATGGCTGAATACTGCTTGTTAGCAGGGTTTGTATTTACAGCAGCTGAAAAATGGAAGAAAATCTGATTTTCCACCCAGGCAGTCCCCTAGTTATTAAGACAACAGATACTGATACCACAGAGAGCTTCAGGTAAATACAATGTACAGCTTTAGAGCCTTCTATACATATTCTACATATTATATATATATATATATGTTTTTGTTTTATTACCGAGTGATATATTAAAAAAATAGAGTTCCAAGCATATCGCAAATACCTGAATGCACAGCAAATAAAAACAGTACTACGAACACACAAAACTAAACAAACACACAAAACAAATGCAAAGGAAAAAAGTTTGAAAAGAGAATTACTGCCATAACTGAAAAGTGCAAACATGCCGCAAACACATAAATGTTGCGAAGAAATACCACAAGGGAAACTTTCTGCCAGTAAAAGCAAGTTAAGATAAAGTACAAACTAACACTGCATGCTGAACAAGCTCCAGACTCCACTAGAGAACAGGACAGCATCCTGTGGATGTTTTTACCAAGGATCTGGTCCACAGACATTAATTTATACTCATTTCTAATGTCTGTTTGTCTTTGCTACTCTTTATTCACTCATTGCAGCATTTGATCTTTTCATGTCTTTTGTCTAATTATTGTGTTTGTAAGCAGTAATCTGTTTGCAGTGCTTTTTCTATTTGCTAAACATTAATGTATTTGGGCCACTGTGAAAATCCCCTGATAAAACCTTCGGTCTACTCTGACCAGTTCCCAGTTGACAGGAAATTCTCCCAGCATCTCTATTAACCTGGACGAATTTAGGACGTTAAAAGAAGTCAAGTTTTTTTTTGGACCTTATTCACCAGATGGAGAAGCTAAAGGGCTAATGTAAGAGTAAAGTGCGCAGCCTAATCACCAGCTGTGTCTGATAGGTGCGAGGCCTGATGTGGTGCCTGGTGCACATGTTCTCTCTGCAGACGGTGTTCTAGGTCAGCCTGTGTTCAGGCTATTTCAGGACAGGTGATTCTGTTTGGGCTGGGCTTTTGTCAATCACTTCTGCTCTATTTTCTGCTTAAACCACAGTGTTGCTTCTACTCACCAGCTTTGATGCGGATGTTCGGGCTGCGTATCTTGCCCGCCTGGTTCTCGGCGGTGCAGAAGTAGTCGTTGTCGTGGATGTAACTGTTGTAGGCCGAGGGCGAGAATGGGTACAGCTGGAGGGTGCCATTGGCGTGCACGTGGCGAATGTGGGGCACGTCGTAGATGTCGTCACCAGTGGCCAGGTACCAGCGCAGTATGGCGCTGGGGGTGCCCCCTGCAGGACAGGGCAGGGACACCCCCACTGAGCTGGAGTAGGTTACCCTCTGCAGGGAGGCGTTTACAAAGTAGAGCCTGGTAGAGCTAGCATCCTCACTGTGTACTGCAGAGACAGACAAACATAAGGACTTAGGAGGACAGGTGCATACCATGCAGGTGGGTTTAGGTTATTGACGAGTCCGACCAGCGCCATCTCTCAGCGCTGAGTCCGACTTGTGGTTTCTGGAGGTACAGTGTGAGCAGGTAGATCGCATCAAAGCATCGAGCTGTACAGTGTAAGAACAAACATTGTGAGCTATGAACTTTTAAACTCTGTGGTTTCATTTTGAGCTCTACTGTAAGTGTGATGAATCGATTATAATTAATACTTAATCGATTGGTATATCAAGAGAGATGCAGAACCAAAGAGCCATTTGCAGCTCTGCAGATATATATATTTGATCACAACATTAGGTGTGGGGCAGTTTTAGTCTTAGGCCCTAAAAGTCTTGCTCTCTATTTGGGTTATGTGGTCTTCATGACATCACTCATGTAAACTGAGAGAACACACCAGAAAAAACAAACAGAATGAACTTCAGCTGTTTTCTATGTTTACTAAAGATTTAAAAAGCTTTCAGATGGTTCAAATATACTTTGACCTTTTTTTCCTAACTATATTTAAGAAGAAATCCTGCTGACCAGAGAGGTTTACTGTGGGCTTCATTTTTTTTCTTTCTTTTAGTATACAAACTAAAAAGAACAATCTATGTCCTTTCAAAGTTTTTTTTTGTACCACTGATGTATGGAGTGAATTTTGTTACATTATTTTCTAAGGCAAAAAACATATTTGTCAATGAAAAATAGAAAATAAATACAGTCCAGAAATTAAGTTTTAAATAACCTTTAACTAAAAAAATGGGTTTTTGACAAAATTATTCTACTTTTCATATTTTATTTTTTCAAATCACTTTTAGGGCATTTATCATTTTAAATAATGTTTTTTCAAATTTTTGGTTTTCAGATGAAATTTCACGAACTGCATTTATTTCAGGTCTTGTTTTAACAATGACATTCGCTTCACTTCAGGCCCAACCCAAACGCTCCCTCTTCCTCCGCAAAACTGTTGTTGCTAACGTCCGGCACACAAAAAAATAAATGTGTCTTTAATCCTCACTTCATAATTTAAAAAAGGGGGATGTGGGAAAATATAAAAAAAAAAAGAAATTAAATAATTTGAAAAAAAAACTGAATCTGAAAAAACAGAAAAAGCTAAAGACAAAACCAGTTTTTAAGATGAGGTTTCTCAAAAATACATTTCTGAATTTAATTTTTCTCAGATTTATAAAAAGTGTCTCCTTGCAACAATAATTGGAACAATTGGACTAATTTAATTTATCTCTGTCTTTGGAACAAAATCAATGTGCAACTATTGAAAAACTAAGACAACATTTAGGGCTAAAGCTATAGATTGATTTAGTAATTCGTTGATCTGATGAAATTAATTTACAATTAAACAATTATAAAGAAACTGTATTTACCCATTTCTCGAACATTTAAAAAAATATATATTTTATGGATTCAGATCAAATTAACAAGCAAAGATTCTTAGTAAAAATACCAAGAAGTATTTCTTTGTACGTAGTTTCTAACTTTTAAAGATTATTTATTATAAATGAAAGCAGTCGGACAATGTTTAATATTTGTATTTCACATTTCGCTCCTTCAAACTGGGTTATAGGTTGTATTATCACATGTGATGGAGGTTCCCTCTGTTGCAATAAAAGAAAACAAGTTCAGAGGGTGGGACCGCTCTTCATACGTGTTGCAAAAAATAATCATAACAAATGTATGTCAAACGTCCAGCTGCAAACATCAGTCATGTGACTCAGAAAGCCAGGGATTTGGGCTAAAGCCTGCGACGGTTTAGGTGGAAGGGCGGAGTCTGCTACCTCCATACAGTTTGTGCGCATATTTCACAAAGACAAACATAGAGAGACGGGGAGGAGGGGAAAACTCGCTGATAGGTTATGTGATTGGAATTTCTATGCCAGACGCAGAGATTTAAGTCCATTTAATCTCCTTACATATTTACACAAACACCCACACACACACAAATATACACACATAGCCATGTTATTCATAGGACCTCAGATTAAACACACACACCTCCAGCAGAAAAGGAAAAAGGAGAGTTTATTGAGGATAGATGGGGTGGGGGGGCAAAGTTTGGGGGAGATTAAAATAGAAATTAGTGGGGGAGACACGTCTGATGGACAGCTGTGGTTTTTAACCACTGCTGACTCCCCAGAGGAATTTAGGACCGATTTCTTTTAAACATCCTAAAACATACTATAAGAGCTAAAGGTTTTGGTCTAATGTCTAAAATGAAAACTCTCCCCCTTTAATTTGCAACCGAATCAAATGATGACATTTTTATCAAATACCATAAATGATCCAAACACTTTTCTCCATCCCTGATTGGCTGAATTTTCTTTCCTTTTTATCTACTTGACATTAATTACCAGAATGAACATAAACATCCTTAAGTCGGTTATACCATACATTTCTGTTCTAAACCATAAGTGTTTAAGAAGTATTATTTATGAATAATTCAACATTTATTTGGTCTTGAATAAATTGTCCATGTTCTGATAAATTTGAAAATACAAAGTTGAGGTATTCCATAAATAACAAATGCTATTCAAATTGCCAGTGAATACATTTTTTAATGCGATAACGCTGAAAACAACATGGATGTAAACAAATGAGATATATCCATAATTCAGCCAAGGCTCTAGAGGGCGCCCCTCCCCCAACAGGTCCATTCTTCTTCGTCTTTTCACTAGAAAAAAAAAGTTCAGCGGGGGATCACAGGTGTGTTTGATTTCAGCAGCTGATTGTGAAAATAAGGAAGCTGGAAGAGTTTGGCTATGGATTCAAACAGGTCCAGACTTCTCACTTTAGTGTACACTCTGTCGCCTAGCAACCAGACACTTGACACACCTAGCAGGCAAAGTGTGGATGCTGATCTTCTCATTACCGTTTTGGGTGCTAAGAACATTTTTGAGGATCTTCAGCAGCAGTACTATCATCTCAGATATCAGATTTATTGTCCCCACACTGCAAAAATATTAGAATCTGAGCTTAAATGTCAGCCAAACCCATTTACACATGGACAGATCAAACCTTTCAATAAACCAAACATTACCGCCACATATCTGACTCAGTAACCATTAAAACAACTATTTCCATTCATTTCACATGGAACTTTTCACATACTTGTTTTATATTAAACTGCACTTCCAATATTCACCACTGTTTGGCGCCATTCTCCTTTTTTCTCAGAGCATGGAGCAGCTGGCTTGCTTGGACTCGCAATGAATCATGGGATACCCAAGGCTACAGAGAACACAGAATACCAGTCCTTCAAAACCGGCAAAAAGAAGTGTGCGCTTGTTGACCGCATAACAAGGAGTCTTCCAATCCCAACAGGCCTCGGAGCCACGCTATGACGTGATCAGCCGACGAATCTGGTCTTCCCAGTTTTAAGAAATATAACAAAAAAATTTCATAATTGAAGCGTAAAACTTAGAATTGAATAATAGACTTTTTTAACTGCAGTGTTTTTATTTTTGGAATATTTGTGCGATTTGATGGTTAATCGAAATGCACCTTCTGTTTAAACATTTAAACATTAGGCCCACAGTCAGTCACTCAGTAATTAGTAGATTCAGTTCAGCACTGTTCTCTGCTCCTTTACTGGTGCAATCCTCTGCGTTGCTCCCCTTCGTTTCATCCTGCATTTGAGCTTTTTGTTCTTCTCTGTCTCCCTGCCAGCCGCCATGATATTGACTCATCTGTAAATTCCTTTTAGTAAATAAATATTTTGCACATTGGTCCACAAACCCCGAAACCACACCACGACAGTGACATGAGGAAAAGTTGGGCATCGAAAAGTAGAATAAAAGGACCTGTGCTTACATTTTAAAATCAAACAATATTTATTCCACATGAACAACAAAACCTATTCACTCATTCTAATTCAAACAAAAACCTTATAAGAAATGTTTTAACTTGTTAGTTAAAAGACGGGGATGCATGGACTGATCACGCCAATTGGGTGTGGATTTTTCTGTGATTGGCCTATACCTGGATCCTATCCACCAATCTCATCCTCCTCTGCAAAGGTTTTAAAACAAACCACTGTAAACTTTGATTTATATTTGCCATTAAGCGATGTTAAACACATTTTTTTATTGTTCCACAGGCCTAGTTTAATGTTTTTCCCTGAGAAAAGATGCAATATTATAACAAATGACAAAAGAATGAAAAAAAGTGGGAAAGGTCAAAATTCGATTCGGCCCGTCAGGCTCTTTAAAGATCAGTAATCTGTGATCGGGCAGAAACCTGCAAAATTTAAAATAACCCAAACAACCAAGATTATACTGTCTTTGTATTTTTATTTGTTTAATTGTCAGTTCGGAGCAGAGATGGAGGATCTGGAGTCAACTGGTATATGTCATGTATTTTTTCTGCCAAGATCCTGAACCAGGTGAGTCTAATCTGCACAGGTTAAACCAGATTGGACTCTCCTGGTTCAGTAGCTGGGCAAAACAAATACATGACATAGAAATGAATTGCTGATTCCAGGTCCTCCATCTCCTGTTCGGATAGAAGAGAAAGAAAAATCTAAATTCTCATGAATAACTATGAGGAAATAAATGTAATAAAGGAGGAGCAGCTAGAAAAAGATGGATTTAAGATCTGTTTAAGGGATAGGTAATCGGTTCTTACATTAATCCAGATGATAGGTGGAAATTTGACCGTGATTTCCTTCAATCAGAACTTTTTTCTTGGCGATATCACAAAAAGTTAGTCCACTTAGTTTTTATGAAATGTGCTGTTGAAAAACCTTTAAAAGGCAAAGAGTCAGTAACATTGGGAGGCTGCAGCCCAAACAAGAGGAGAGAGGCTGTAATAATTTTGTCCAAAAGGAGAACAGAAGCAGAGAGCGTGGATGTTTGGAAGCTGCAGGAGGAGAAGGTGATCCAGCCTGACTCAATAAAGAAGAATAAAAGAAGCCGTGACAGAAATCTCAAACGTTTCCAAAGGCTCTGACAAAGA